AAGTCTATTGTAATAACGACATTTTCTCGTGCTCTCTTTTGTGTTTGGTCAGGTCTTTGCTCAAGAGAATCTGTTGTCAAATAAAGCAGCGGTTTTGCGCTATGAATTCGAAACTGGAGTATTTAGGGTTTCCATCTTGAGGTGTTATAGACGAGGAGACCCAAAAAAAAGTCGTCTCGTAGCACCCCAACCACACAAAAGGTTTGGCTTCATATAATGATTGCCTCATCCAAAAGGAACAATTTTATACCGGTCGTACTAAAATATAGGTGGGTGTGGCACTTTTTTCACGACCATTATGATAGGGGGGGGGGGGGGGGTTAATTTAAGACACCAAAATGTGCTATTGATAGGTCTGTGACGAGATAAATGTATTCATAATTTTGGAAAGACACATTGTAAGGAACTCACATTTGCAGGGTGTGTATGTTAGTGTGAAATGCATCATTGTCCTTGACGATGGTTACAATGGCAACAGTTACTAGGGAATCGAAATATTCCGTTTTTTGAGATAAAGTCTTAGATTTCACTTGGAAATYAAAGTAACTGATGAAGTATTTAGATATTTCTAAAGCTGAAAGCGCTTTTCATTGCAACAATTAATATACTGCAGTATTTTACGATCTACTTGCTTTTAATTTTCAAGATTTCCTTTCTGGCATTTCTAGCTTTGTACTTGCACAAAAATGCTTTCATAATTTCTGTGAACGTATTTTTGTATCTCCTGACTACTAAAGTGTATTTATTCCATGCATAATAGACTTTTAAACTGATTGTTACTTAAACAGCATTCCTTTTCTCATAGTTATTGATTAAATTTATTTAATTSAAATCGTTTTAGCTCATTGTATTTTTAAATTATTACCAAGAAAAGAAAAATGAAAGCTTTCTATAGATTAGTTGTTGGAGATATCTATCTCAATTAAGTGGGCTCCATTTCTCGAGTCCAAACGTTCCAATTCTTTTTAAAGGAGTTAAAAATCCCATGATGCATCGCTCGAAACTTGATGGCGGCCATTTTGAAAATGTGAACACGAGAGGTATTAAGTCCATCTGTTCGTATTTCCTGTATTTATTGTTATTAAGACTGTCTGGTTGTTTAAAGTGAATACTATATAGATCTAACCAGCGAAAGTTTCTACCTTATCTTTTTTGTTTTTCGTAATATTTGAAGCCAGACAAAAAGTTTGATTCTCTGAGTGTTTGTAAGTTTCGTGGTTTACGAAACGATGGCATACACAGGATGGAACTAAGTGTTAAAACTTAAAACTTATAACACGATATTATGAATTGTTGCTTTTGATATGTAGAAATGTTCGCTGCAGATGATAACATAGGGCTCTTGCCGGTAAAGCGAAAGCAAGTAGACTGGAGAAAATGTATAGGCCAGGAGACAGAAAGAAAGGCTCCTCCTACAGGTATAGCTACTTTTTTATCAGTTGGCGAACAAAGATATACGATGAAGTGTACAACAGAATCCTTCCTGAAATACAATATATATCACAGAAAGATATAGTCTGGCATACAAGTTGCTACAAGTCCTATAACAGTAAACGAAACCTTNTAACGTAATTTGAACTGAGCCAAGTCTTTTGATAATGAAAATCATAAGAGAAAATCTTAAGAGCGACTGTCCAGAAATATCGAGCATAGGCCGGCCACAGTGAAAAATTCAAATTCCTTGAAACTTAGTTTCTAGACACCTTTCTGTGAGCCTACTAACGTGGTCTAATCGGTTTTTTGATCTACGTTGAGAAATTTGAGTTTTTGAGCAAAATAGGTTTTACCCCGATTTGGTCTAAAATTAGCATGTAAGACCGCTAAAACTTGCAACTTTTTAAAAGTTATTTCTTCAACCAATTTAAATATTTTTGCGCAATTTTTTTACATAATCCGAAAGAATACATCCTAACGAGTTGCCCGGGATCGGTTTTGGCTTTTCAATATATTTTTAACGGGGAGGAAAAATGACTTTTGCTTGGCCGGTTTTCAAACCTTGATTTGAGTTGAAATTTCCGAACACATTTTTCTCCATGTGGCCATTCTCCAATTTTTACCAAATTCACCCTGAATGAGGTTGAAGTATCAATATAAACCGACGTAGAAAAATATTTCTGGGTTTTTACACTGGTAGTGCGATAGGAGCGATCAAATATCACGATTTTTTTGACTTGCAATATGCAAATTAGCAGTTTGTTTACATTTACTCAGATAGATCATTCGAATGAAATTTTTCTCAAACATCGAAGTCAATCAAATATATCATCTGATCGAATTAAATGAAGTAATTTCTAGTATATTAGAAACTTTCCAACATCTAAAGCGATTGTATCTTGACCTTTAGCCTCATATTTCCTGTTGAGGCTTTCTGTGACGATCCTAATAGTTGGACACTA